GGTTAAGTTTGGGAGTGCCGAGGGACTGCAAAAGCAGATTGGGAACTTCAACAACAACTGCAGGAAAGAAACTATTCGTTTTGAAGGCAGAGACTTCCCACAAGTCCAGCCAACGGGAAGGGCTGGAGAAAACCGGAACGCATGCGATGTGTGTGGGAAGCACTTCAAAGATGAGTCCAACCTTAAAAGACATCACAGAAGCCACACAGGAGAAAAACCTTACCTGTGCGTGTACTGTGGGAAAACCTTCAGCCGGAACGCAAATCTCGCTTCGCATCACAGGACCCACACAGGGGAGAAACCGTATGCCTGCACGCGTTGCAGCAAGACTTTCTGTGATAAATCGAGCCTGAATCGACACCAGAGGACCCACACCGGGGAAAGGCCGTACGAGTGTGAGGCCTGCGGCAGATGCTTTGACCTGAGCCAGTCCCTGATTAGTCATCAGAGGATACATACAGGGGAGAGACCGTATCAGTGCTCAGAATGTGGCAAAACTTTCAACCGAAGCCAAAACCTGCGTAGTCACCAAATAATTCATACGGGAGAAAAACTGCATAAGTGCTCGGAGTGCGGGAAGAGCTTTAGTCGCAGCCAGAATCTGACCAGGCACTTGAGTAGCCACACGGACAGCAAACTGTACACATGCTATGAGTGTGGGAAAAGTTTTCGCCTGAGCCAGTATCTTATTAGCCATCAAAGGGTCCACACAGGAGAGAAACCGTATACATGTTCCCAGTGTGGGAAAAGTTTCAACCTCAGCCAAAATCTGATCAGCCACCAACGAATACACACGGGGGAGAAACGATACCAGTGTTCCGAATGTGGGAAAAGCTTCAGCTGGAGTCAGGATCTGCTCCGCCACCAGAGGATCCACACAGGGGAGCAACCGTATCATTGCTCGGAATGCGGGGACCGCTTCAATCGTCGGGAGAACCTTATTAGACATATGAGAATGCATGCAGGAGAAAGCCCTTAGGTTGGCCTCCATATAAAGACGACTTTGGTGGGAACCCGCCCCTGATCAGCCCTCGAAAACATCCCACACACACACGAGAAATTCAATTTTGTGAAATCTGGCTAGGAATGGTTAATTCAAAACTATGCAATGCCTTTACAGACCACTAAAAAATTATCATTGGAAAATACACAAGCTTTCATGGATCAAAAACC